ACTGATTTTGTTTTGATTCTTTAAGCGAGGAGAAAACTCGAACCAATTCAGGAAAGGATGATTGACACTATGGTTTCAACATGTTTGGTCCCTTCTAAGGCTTCGTCATATGGTCATATCCATCATCCAATTCCAGTGGCAACATTTTGACATGTACATACATGTACATACACCGAGAGAGAAAGTTCATCTGAGGATCAGATCCTGACAACAAAATAGGGCGACAAGGTCAGGAGAGAGCATACCATCTGTACATGTGTACAGGTGTACATGGACATGTACTGCAGCTGGTGTACACATGTTATGTATTGTACCTCACCCCCTACCATGCCTGAAGTATCAGGCGATAATAGGACACAAGTCTCCTTGCCCTGGGAACACCTCCTGGTGTGCCTTGTATGAGATGTATGGGGTACGGTACATGTACATGTATATTAAGAGTTCAGGAGGTGCTGTAAGACCAGGGAGACATGTACATGGTACAGTGCACCACTATCAAGATCACATAGCAACTTTCTTCAGCAGGAGAAGGGCTCTTTGCAGACTCCTCCGGCAGATTTTGTCTACTCGCAGAGTCTCTTAACCAGGGTCCCAGCTGTCAGTCACCACTGTAGCCAATTAAGTTGTGGATAAGTTTACCAGCTTTGGCTGTACTCCCCAGCAGTGGACCCAGAAAGGATTACCAGTATACTGAGCGCTGAATAGAAAGTCTGGTGTTATATCATATTTACTAGTACATGGAGGCTACATGTATCTGTCGCTACCGGTACAGCTTTGGTACAGCTTTGCCTGCCATTCATACATGTGTAAATCGCTTGCTGGACTCCATGGTTGAATCCAGTCGTAATGAACTACCACTTCTGGCCAATGTACATGTAATGTACCGGTACCAGGGGAGAACTTTGCTGAGGACTGGATCACAGGCAGCCTTGGTGTGGCATCGGGACCAGCTCTGCTTTATTTAAGTTTACAAAGAATAATTGGCTGAGGAGCCCCAGCACATGTACATGTACATGTATGTATCCTTCAGATACCAATGGATGGTACCGGTACATAAACATGTACTGTATGGTCATAACACTGTGCTTCTACCCACACAAATACATGTAAATTGTACATACATGTACATGTACATGGTGCACTGACGCATGTACTATACGTCTACGTGTACAGGTATTGTACATGTACATGTACATGTACCTACATGTATACATGTACATGTATGCGCAGTATTTTATCCTATGTACATGTACATACAAAATTGTTGATAACCAGTGATGTTCTAATCTGGGTACCGGTACATTGTACACGGTACATTGTATGGTACATGTACATGTAGTATACTTACATGTACATGTACATGTAGGTCAGAAATGCACATTAACAAATTTCATAATGTAACACGCAAGTTCTTCATACATGTTTTTTTTTCTTGGAACACTTGCAAAGTAACAAAAGCCAATTTTATATCTTGCGGCGAAAGCACTGAAGATGATTGGATTTCTTTTCTGGTCGGTCCGCGGCGCCTGCTCAAGCCCCTGGCATAACAATCGGATACAGTATTCACCGTCCGCGCCAAAGACCTCTCTCAGTCGCACATGATACTGCCTGTGAGGTACTGTGGCATTTCAACGTCATCAAATGCAGCGATGTTCATCTTGCGAGGAATTGCCCGGCTTAGCTTTCATCTAATCTCACCCACGGTGATATTAATTCTTTTCCTCCTTTTTTTTTTTTTCACGCTTTGGACCAACTTCGTTGACGGATGGAAATTAGAAACGCTCGGAATAAGATTACTGGGGATTTACACTGCATTAAATGAATGGTGTGATTGGCTATATTAGGCAGGAAAAGAAATTGAATCATAATCCAATCGTCGTGCTGTTCTGCTGATTGCACTGATGCAGGGGCCTTGGAAATCCAGTTCTGTAGAGGTTTTTTTAATAGCCCTGTACATGTGTGAAATATAGGTATCGTACTTTCTCATTCGGTAATTTGAACAATAATTCTTTTCATAAGAATTAGAATGACAAATTAGTAGCCAGGGGAAAAGCTGCTGAAAGTTCAGTTTAAGGAAACTGTTTAATTTTTTGGGTTGCAGATTTTCTTATCTTCAAAGAAGGCAGCGAGAGAGGGTTTAGAATGAAAGGATCAAATGAATTTTGTCAATTAAGACCAGCGATTTAGCCATCCTTGGTGCAGTTGAGCAATAGACCCAGAAACAGGATTACAAACCACAGAAACTTATGAGAAACTGGTGCATTTGCAGCAGGGGGGTGAGACTGTACTGGGTAATCCATAAACTTTCTAGATATTTTAATGTTGATAATGTCTTCTTAATGTCATCAATTTACCAAACATATTCATGATGTGAACTTATGTGCATTGGTGCGAGTTCCTGCACTCAACATGTAAATAAAAACATAGCATTTAAGAAGTTTAACCCGAGGTGCAAAACCGGTAGTCTCCTAAATGTTGACCGTACTACCGGTAGAACAGGAAAAGGTGACACTCGGGTCAGTGTAAACAAACTGAGATGTCTGCCAACACTTACACGTACTTACACGTACATGTACTTGTATGTATGTCTAGTAACATACCCATGCAGAAATATACGCCAAGGGCAGTATTAAAGACGAATCAATATTATTACAGTACATGTGTAGTTCCTGTAGAAATCCTGTGCAACGGTCGATGTCAAATTCAGGATAAAAACAAAAGGAGTGTCTGGTCACTTGGGTCACATGAAAATTACATTATAATGTTCCAGTACCGTACATGTATGTGTACGAGCATTTGAGTTCGTGCATACACTATACATGTACATCTACCAGTACAATAATTGGCATTGTAAAATCAAGAAATGAGTACCCAAAGGAGCTGGATCACATTATTCACTGTACTGCCAAGAATAGCCAGGCCTGATACATGTACATGTGGTACGCCCCCATTGGTATACAGCACATGTACACATGTAAATACCAGTACATGTACATACACATGTACATGTATGCGACTATGCTCTGCTTACTGGACAAGTACCAGGTACATGTAAGAACATGTACATGTACACACAGGGGACCATTACATTAGGGCAGCATTTGATGCCCCGTGGAATCCAAATGATTGTCATTAGTGAGATTATTACGTGAGAGAGAAAAGGTTACATGTACATGTCATTTTGAGGTCCCAGAAAATCAAACAAGTGTTACAAAGGTCAAATGTGTGTTTGGTTTGGAAACAGTGTTACAGGTTAATGGTTTAGGGATGCAATATTGGATTATGTATAGTACCCTACAGTGGGTCTTTCCCAGACAGGAATGATTTATTACCTTTCGTCCAAGGTGCTGTTCGCAGGCCAAATATATTAAAGATAGTTAAAGGTGGCATACTTTTGATGGATATTGACAATGCATGTTTGGTCACCGCACATTCTGTTCAGACCATGTGTTTCATACCAGTTTGTACATTGTAGAACTTGAAATAGTTGAAATTGGGCTGAAATTATTATGCCGTATGACAGTGTAATCAAACAAACAATAATACCGATACATGTACCGTAGTATCACAGATTTTAGGGCCTGGATAATTCATGATACCCATAGACGCTATGGATTGGTTAACGACATTTAAAAAAAGTCTTGGACCGAATAACATTCTAAGTTTTATGATACATGTACCGGTAGAGTACCTTTCCACATTGTTGGCAAGTCTAATATTGTTCCTGTTTGTATATGCTTTATAAATCTTGGTTCACGGTTTACTTACAAGTAATTCTAATGCACTGATGTATGCATATATCTGCACCGGTACATGTGTACGTGTCCATTCACTTTTACAAAATTACTAACTCTCATTGATTGTGCTGTGTACTGTACTGGTACATGTAACTCCTAATTTTTGCACTGGCTTCCTATAAAGTTTATTAATTTCAAGATTGTTTTCAAGTTGGTCAAGTGTTTACATAGCAAGCCCCCTCCCCTTTACAATATAAATGTACATGTACACATGTAGGTACCGGGTAGTTGAAAGTCAACATGTTTGTCCCAAAGCAATCAGGCTTTCATATTTGCTACATGTACATGTGTCAGTACAGTACCGTACATGTATGTCCAGATTATGGCATACATGTACATGTATGTAATTTACTTTCCAACAATTGCAACCTCAAACCACCAGATTTTTTTTTAAACTATGGTAGACCCAAGACTTTCCTGTTTAAGAAGGCGCACAGTGATGTGTGACAGGCTTTTTGCCTATTTTTCTTTTCTTTGTCTTACGTGTGTGAAGTGCAGTGGATATTTGATTGTAATTGCATTATTGCAACAGTTGTAAAATGTAGTCTCGTTTTTTAGATTTTTTAAGATATTGACTGCAATAAGGTACCGGTAATGTAAATTTGTTTTGATTACGTGTATCTCATTGATTATTCTGAACAGGCTGGTCCTGGAGAGAGTGCACTTTTAAATAAGTGCAATAAATTATAATTACATGTAATTATTATAATTTCTAGCTGATAACCTTATTATTTTTCAGATTTTGTAATACAGGTGAATTGAAACTGGTTGTTAGTTCCTTGAAGATGTTGTCCTTCTGTTATTTTGTTAATATTGTGGGGTTGGGAGCGGGTGGGTGTATGGTACATGTAGGAATGTTGTACCCAGTAGAGAGAAAATTGAAGGACTCGCTCTTGGGATGAAGATCCTCCAGACTGGTGATGCTGTGTTCATCCTTTTTTGTTTTTTCAGAAAATTTTTCTGGAGTACACTTGCGTGTGTATTCTGAATTAAATGAAGATTGCCTCTCTTTAACATTCCTGTTTGTACATGTACAAACTTATGCCCTTGTAGGTCTTGCCTCAAGTGAAGTGACATTTCCAATGTGACTCAGCCCAGTTGTTGGTGTGCGTTACTGGAAACACTCTTGTTCCAGTGTTGTGTACATCAATAATGAATTTCTCCCTCTCTTGGGTTTCTCCCCTTCCTTATCCCACCCTGCAGGCTGGACTGAACAATGTTTCTCTCATCACTCGTCAGCTGACATGAGGTGCCTTGCTCCTACTCATCAGGCTACCCACGACAGCCAGCCACAGAGCGTCACCCAGGGTGAAGACCCATACCGCCGCCGGTAGTGTGCACTGGACTTTGTAGAGGTGGCACCATGGCCCTGCGCAGACAGAAGATGATAGGCATAGGCCTGATGCTGTTTGTGTTGTGGAACGTGGCTGCATATTTGTTATTTGCACGGCAAGCTGATCAAGGCACCAAACCGGTAAGACCAGAGCCTTTATCTACATGTAGATTAAGAGAAAGCTTGCGTGCACATGTAGATCCGTACGAAAATGCATTCAATTAGCCGCATGTCCGTGGACTTGTGCAATGGAATTCACCTCTCCCGACGCCAAATTCCACCAACAGTCGCCGACTGCTGCACCCACAGCGATGTCGGCTTTGAACCGGCCAAGTGACCAGGGCGAGCTTGGTGGTCAAGTGGACAAGACATCCGCACCAGTAAGCAGGAGGTTGGGGGGCTTTGAATCCCTCCCGTGCAAGTCTGTGAAGTTTTTTCTTTCAAGCTCTCAGACAGCATTGACTATACAGTGCTTATTAAATGACATTTGTTTCAGAAAAGAGCAGAGCCTAACACTAACATCAAATCATGTGCTGCTCCATGCCGCAGTTTTCTATTTTTGCAGCTACATTGTGTACTGTACATGTACGTAGATGTACATGTATTTAGAGGCCACACGTATTGTACAGTACATGTACATGCCGATGATTCCTCCAACTACATGTATACAAAGGCAGTGAGCTGTGTGCACACTTGTTTACACAAAGTCAACTTTCTAGCCTTCTTGATATCATAACCCATTATATCCGTTGGAGTTGTACTTTGGAAACTGAAGTTATTCACAGAATCTGCCTCACTAAGCTTATGCACTGGTACCAGGAAGCTGCCCAGACTTACAAGAAAGTGTCGTGGCACTCTTTTTTAACCTGCAAAATTTGCTCACTGAATACGTTTCTGATAAAGGGTGGCTCGTTAGTTATTGCCAGATAAGTCAGAACAATGATTCAACAAAGAAAAGTACGTTTAGGCCAGTAGCCCAGAACATTTTTGTGCATGAATCAAATTGACTCTGAAGTTTCCTTTAAGGGTGGACGTCGAATGTGAAAATACCCAGTATTCATCAGCAAGAAAACTAGAAAGGCACCAAAATACCCTTTGAAACCAAAATTGGAATAAAAAAGGCAAAAAGAGACACAATGTATGAAAAGACCATGCATTACATAAGCCATTTAAATATTCTTCGCTTTTTCCTGCAAAGTCCTCCACTGTTCAATATTAAGTTTCATAATTGTACTTTACATTATTACCTGTGCTTGCAGTGGACTTGCTTCAGTCCTGCAAATCCCTTCCAAGACCCTTCAGTTGGTGGATTTTGAAGGATGCGGGAGGTTTAGCGATAAGAGGCATTTGGGGTTGCCCCCGCTGTAGAACATGCTGACCATGCACAATTATTACATACATGAATTTCCTTTGCTTCTGACCACTTCAATGTAAAATATCTTGAGAATGAAACCAGTTTAGTGGACGCCTGTAAATGGCTGATGGTGTGAAGCTGCGGTATAAATGGTAAATGCAAGTTACGTGTCGCTAGACTACATGGCCTTCCAAAGACAGGTGCAATGGAGATTATTTATAACTGTGCTGATTACAAGCAGTACTCTCGACCATAGGACTGTAATTATACCTTCATTTCCACGTGTCATTACGCAGCAACATGGATATAAACATGTTCAGTACATGTACATGTATTTGATAGGCAGGATGATGAAACAAGCGATTTGGCCAGACATACATGTACTGGTACACGTTGTGTGGGCGGTTCCAGGCCACTGAGGGCGCCAAATATTGGTTTCTTGTTCCTGTTTCAGGTGGACGCGTCTCAGTCGCTGAATGAACGGCTCCAACGACTCCAGGAGCAGATGAAAGACCAGATGCAGATCAACGAACAGCTCCTGCAGGATATCATGCAGCAAAAGGAAGCTATTATCAAAAGTAGGACAGGCTTCATGTTGGAAAATAGGAGCAGTAAATGATTGACCGAATTTTAACATTTGAAATGGTCATTGCTGCCCACAAAACAAACCACAGCAATTCAAAAGATTAATAGCAGTTGGGGAAGAAATTGATTAAAAAAAATATGACAGAAGTGTGACTAGATTTAGTGAAACATTTCTTTGCTGTCCCTGGGGAGGGAGTCCGTGCCAACATTTCCTCTCCTCTCTGATGTTGTGGCTGCAGACATGTTCCAAATATCCATTCTAAGGGTGCACGTAATACATGTACAGGTATGTGTTTCCACTGAAACTTGTCACAGAATGCTCACCCCCCACACACACAAGTGTGTATTTGCCTGCAACCGGGGAACCCCAATTGTTTCTCTTTTGTTTGTACTTTTTTATAAGACCACCCATATGTTTTGTACACAGTTGTCACTCGGGGACCCTCTGTCAATCGGGGACCTTATTGTCCTCTATTGTTCAGGGTCCACAATTGAATGCAGAAACAGACTCGTGTACATGTACAAGTGTAAACCCAGAACCCTCTGTCATTGACACATTCTTGGATTTTCTTATCGTACAGTTTCGTCTGTCTTATTTTTGTTTTCGTCCTTGATCTGAATTGAGGATTGTTTAAACGTCTGAATAACTTTTCTTGTGGATATGATGATTTGAATCACTTCCCCTACATTGTGTTAAGGGTTTAATGTTTCAAGGACCAACTACTGGTATTGTTGGATTTATTCTTCTGTGAAATACACAGAACCCTCCAAATACATGTAGATTAATTTTGGATGGTTTCTGGTTTCCATATCAGCCCTCCAGTGAAACCAATAGGGCCACGCATTGGTTCACTACCTACATTGTACCGGTCCCTGTAGACCCTACATGTACAAATGTACATGTACATGGACTTACTGTACAGTGTTATACTCGTTGAGCTTGGTACACAAAACCAGAATGTCCCACAGGGAAAATTGCACCCTATGCACAATTTCCAGAATTTCCTAAGCCCGTTAAAAAAGAAAATTGGATCCATTTATCATGTGTGTTTATGCCAGGAACACGTACCTGCCATAGCTATCACAGTTATTTTTGTTGAGTTGCATAGGAGGGTGGCATAGGTGCATTTTTTGTTTGGGCTAGAGGATTTTTTGTTTGTCTTGCTTGTTATTTTGTGGAATATTTATAAAAATGTCTTTGAAAATTGGCAGCTTGAGATTATGCAATGCATGTACATGCAGCATTAGTTTGAAACTATCATGTACATGTATAGCCTTTGCTAAAAAATACTTGGACATCTGGAGAGTTGTGGTACACCGGTACGTACACCGTACAAGTAAATGTGTATATACATGTACATTCACTTATGTTTGGAGCTCATGTAATATTTTTTGAAAAGTACAAAAATCTGACAGATTCCAGAGAGAGCGTTTTTTGACATTTGAGGAGTTTTTGAAAATTTTGAAAATTTATCAAAGTGCACCGTCTTGCAACCAATCAACTGCTTGGAAAATTTGTGGTGTACCGGTACATTTTTTCACATTTCGATGAAAGGTTAATGCAGCTGTAAAGGTCGTACAGTACATGCAGTTCAAAGGGGTGAAATATTGTTCCCATGTGCTTTGTCAGCAAAACAAATTGCACGGCCTACTTGTAAACGTGACAAAGCTGTTACAAAGGGAGTATCTTTGGAAAAAATGATGTTCATGTGTGCATGTACATTTGGAGAAAAAGGTGTACATTTGTAAAATTTGTGTTGAATGTGTGCAAGACACACTACCGGTAATGCCCTATTTTTCTTACGAGAAACTTGAATCTTCCAAAACCTACCATTGTGCACTGTGCAGGGAACCAGTGGCACAGGCTTTGTGTTTAAAATGTTTAACTTCAATGGGCATTGTAGCCAGTTTATGTGAAGTACATGTACAGTGCTGACAGAGTTCCGCCTGACACCAGTCACACAAAATCATCTAACAGACTTAGCTGGATTTTGAAGGATCTGGATTGGTAATGGTTAATCCTGACCCCCTCGGGCTGTATATAAAATGGAAATGTTACTTACCGGTAGCTTCATATTGGAGAGTTCGGAACTGTTAGGTTAAGGCTTCCTTCAACAGACCCAAGTGTGCAACCCCCTTCCTTTGTGATTAAAGATAATTAACGGCAAGTGAAACATTTGAATTTAACTTTCATTGTGCTGGTGTTCGTTTGCCAGGTCGAAATCTGTCCCCCAATCAGCCTGATGTGGCCAAAGTGGACATGGTGGTCCACCAGCAGGAACCCCAACCCCCGCAGACCAACCCATTCCAGCTTCCACTGGCCAAACAGGTCAAGTATCCGTACTCTTCCTACACCATTCCAGTATTGATGATCGCCTGCAACCGGCCCGAAGCCATTAGACGGAGTCTGACCAATCTGCTCCAGTAAGTGCCAGGAGCGGATGATTTTTTTTTGGGGGGGGCCAGTTTTTGGAAGCCCTCCCCAGTCTGTGTGTGTAATGAATGAATGCTTGCGTGCAGGTGATTGTCAGTGATATGTGTACCTCTTGGCCTGCTTGACCCGTAGATTTTGACCAGTCAGTGGATGTCCACGCATTATGGGTCATTGGCTGCAGAAACATTTGAAGTATATGCACAGTTCATGTATATGTATGTACAGGAAAACTTTGCACCCACGAATCAATCCCAAGCTCTATTCACATGCTGCAGTGAGCAGTCTGGTTATGTGTACCATGCTACAATGTACATGTAAGTACATATACAAATGTACATGTATACGTGCGCATGGATACACAAGTACAGTTACATGTAGATGGGCTGAAGTCTGTGTAATGTGTGCATTTGGCACCGCAAACTACAGAAAAGCACATTTGCCAGGCAAGAAAAACTATTGATTACCTGGTCAGCTGACCCAGTCACCTGATAAAGTATGGTCAGCTGACACCTATCAACCACTTTACAGCCTTTAGCAGACTGTTCAGACGTAACAAATCCAGCAGAAAATGTTAACTTCTGTATGACTTGTCAGTGAATGCAAACCATCCATCAGCTTTGTTGAATGCTGTAACGCTGTCGTTGTTTGATCTGTCTAGAATTAGACCATCTTCCAGCCAGTTCCCGGTCATAGTGAGCCAGGATTGCGGACACCAAGCAACTGCAGAAGAAATTCAAAAATTTGGCAGCAAGGTCACCCACATAAAGGTAAGGCTTTCAGTTGAACAGTGCAGTTGTTTCCTACAATCAAATGGAAGACATTTTGCTGTTTATCAGATCCAGGAATGATCTAAATGGGCACTTGTCATATAGATACATGTACACATGCATGAAATGTTCATGTAACTCCTGTAATGTGTCAGTTTCTTGTTGTTTAAAAGAGAGTTTTGTTGGTATTTGAACAGAACTGCCTGGTCCTCTCAAGTTCCTAAATATTCTGCAGTGTTTGGATTACCATTAGAGGGTACCAGTTTTCAATCATCGTGGTGACGGAATAATGAATATTTACCAATTTTGGCTATAATCTTTGGTGACATTTTTGGAAAAAAACATGGGACAGGTATTTATCGGTGTACAAAAAGGCGAGTAGCTGCCAAAAATGTGCATTTGACTGAAGTTGTGGCTGTTATATTGAAATCTTACCAGCTGGACACCCTTGAGTGTTGGCGGTACTCGTGGCTGTTTACGTCCCAAGTAGCGCTCCGCCGCCGGCCTCGTGGGTAAACCACCTTGCCCGGATGCCGGATAAAATTTGCTGGCCTACTTTGGCCCGATATTCCCAGTGTCCCATTACTCAACCAATCCATTTGGCTGGTCGTTGCTTGGCGGATTGCGTTACCTCCTTGACTGCACCAGAGTCCCTGACTTGAATTCTGAGTGGCCATGCGGAGTGTCTGCAGGGTCAGATGGTCGGACTGTGGACCTGTCCGACTTGAATATTTATCCCTTAATTCAGATGTGAGGTCTAGCCCTCGGTTAACATTAAAAAAAGAATTATTGGAAAAAAAACAGTTGCAAAATTCAGAGGTACCATTATTCATATATTGTACATGAAGGGTGGAATTGGGGTCAGATATGGTTTGGGCCAGTGTTGCCAAGAATTTAAAATAGATGTACACACATGTACATTTCCCATACGGATTTTGCCACCGGTAGTTTATGCCATCAGATATTTGTTTTAATGCACAGGTGCCAGTACATAAAGCAAATTAATAAATTTGAGGCTACATTTTGAACTTGCTTTACTTGAAGTTTGCTTGAGGTCCGAGTCTCATGGTTGTTGGAAGAATCATACTCACTTATGTGTTGTTAGATGCATTGAGCCTCGGAAAGAACAGAAACACCACCACAAACAGAAGAGAACAGTAACAGAAACTCAGATACGAGATACGTTACAGGAGCTTTCAAATGGAAAAGAAAAGCTTCAGTAGATACTAGCACATGCAGTTTATTTTGCATCCATCTTTACATGTGTTTTTGTTCATCAAAACATTCAAGGAAGCATTGGCCTTGATCGGCATGTGTTTACCATAATCCTTTTTCCTCCAATTTTCTTTTTTGCCTTGGTTTATTAGCTTTTTTTGCCCACCTGTTTGTGAACAGAATTCATAATGTCCTCAGTGTGGCCATATGCATTGTCAAAGTGCATCGTTTCTCAGGAAATTGCCCATTGGATACAGTGCTATGAATAATTAAGGTTCACGGATGATTCCCACCAGCAATACCACCTGCCATTAACGGCATACATTTTGTAGGCGACTTTTCCCATGGGTTGCCGTGAAGACACAGAGAGTACGAAAGATTGTATTACACCATGTAGACATAGGAATTCCATGCATAAAAAATGGCACATAACCCCTGCAGTGAATTACATGAATATGTGTACAGTTTGGTTTTATTAAACAGGAAAATTCATGAGTTACATGTATATCACTGAACATGTACACATGGACAAAGCCCTCTTTGGCAATTTTGCAGAGTATAAATGTACATACATATTGCATCTGCACTACTAATTGGTACCAGTGGGTATATGCATGTACATGTACATGTACATTCTAGCGCGTAGGAAAATTTAAGCTTGAGAGGCAGCCATGATTAAACATCTTAACTAGAGTATATATACAAGGAAAGTTGACATCTCTGATCCAGCATCTGAAAGTTGAATGGATTTTTTGCTAAATGCTCAGCTGCATGTACATACCGGTACAAACACCGGTACATTGTATTTTAGTTACATTAGATATGTGCTCATATGGATAGACATGTTCTGTTACATGTACATGTGCATGTACATGTAATTACCGGTACACATAGCCTGAAATAATTGCTACATGTAATTTCCTTTTTCATGAGTTGAGAGCCCTAAATGGTATCTCATAGTTACATGTACATGTACCGTAAATTTATCTATCATAAATACATGTACATTTTCAGAACCATAGAATTATAAGGGGTAGCACTTTATAATTCTATGGGTCTTACAATGTACAAAGGACAAAGAAGTGAAGTTTGGTCCTTTGTTTGATAGTGTGAGAATTTTTTAGATATCTGTGCTTTTCACAAATACAGATAAATTGAGGACAAAGTAATATAACCCTTTTTTTTTTCTCAGTTGTGCTGCTGACAGTCTGACATTTAATCCCAAGATACCGAAGAAGAATTTGTGATGTAGAAAAAAAACAAGAAGTCCAACAAGAGATTGCATTGGAACATTCCCAGCTCCCATGCCTAATGTGATATTTGTCTGTTCTGATATGGCAATCCACCCTTGTGTCTGAAAATACATGTCGGTATTAGAGCTCTTTCTCCTCTGAGTTGGAGGACCCAAATTCCGAAATGAAGCTGTGAGTACTATTCATCTTGACCCAGGCTGAGTTACCGTAATGCTCTGAAGAAAAAGTCGCTCGTCTGCTTTCTGTACTTCAAAATACGGAATTATTTTTCTTTGCTGGTTGCACAGCCTGCCATCCTGAGGAATTTTTCATTTTGCTGTAATCAAGGATAATCTCTCTCCTAATTATTTGGAATTGCCGACTGCCTCTGTCTGTCGATGCCGGGCCTTGATGTGATTCAGTTAGTGGAAAAACGGCATGGAGATGTCTCGTTGCTCGGTGCCCCGTGTAAAGCAGGGCCTCCGGGCACAAATCGATTCCTGGGATATGCCCGGCCCAGCTCTTGTTTCTGTTCCTACAGGGGAAAGTCTCGGTCCTACTGTGCCCACGCAATTATTGTAATCACCCCCCCCCCTTTCCTCATTCGTTTGTCTCTCTCTTCCTCTGGCTAAAGCAGAGATCCTGAAAATGCCAGCACATTGTCTGTTCGCCGGTGAATTATTTTTCCGATTGGCTGAATTTGGGCAATTTACCACATGTCACACCCAAACCTTTTGCCACAACATTGCCCTAGTCCAAATAACTGGAAAAATGCAGTTCTGATGAATTCGGTATAGTGTGTGCGCATGTGCATCTGCAGGCTCGTGCACATTGTACTGATGTCTGCATGACACAGTGTATGCACAGCTTTGTCCGAAAAAAAATATTTACCCAGGTTTGGCCTGACATGTACATGTACAGCAACAAATGCACCTGGTTGGGGCTTCAAATGTTGGATCACGAGATGGTTGCAGCATAATACATGTACCGGTATTTACTTAACAGTGCATGGTACATACACATGTACATTCACGTCAGGCATGCAACTTTTCCTCAGATCAGCTGATTGCCTTGTTTTTCACTTCATGCTCATGCCATTGGAAATTGAAAAACACTGTACAAAGTCTTGTAAAGATCGGAATTTCCTCGTTTTGTTTCTGTCAAAGTCCAAGTTGCATGCCTCTTATATGCTGAATGTACACGTACAGTATATGCATACATGTACTGCACATCTTGAAACCTTTAAAATCAATTATTACTCACTTTGTGACAGACCCTTCCCAAGTAAAAAATGGTCATTTGAACATTCCATGCATATCCACTGAATTCTAAATGCTCTTGCTGGTATTATTGCCTCTTCACTTTTATTGATGGCATTATTGTCGCCTTCGTGTTCGTGTGGCCTGTGGAAAAATGTTCCAACAGTCGCTGTTCACTTGGTCATCACTGTTCTGTTATCCCTCCAGACAATTGGTGGTTTCATCACAATCTGAAAGATAAAGTCTAATTGCAGTTCACTGGTACATGTGCGTACATGTACATGTGTACATTGTACCTGTACATTAACCCTAACAGTCCCAAATCCTCCAATTTCAATCCGATTTTACATACACCCTTGGGGGTGAGGGTTAAACTTCAAGCATGCAAATGGTAAGGTTACAGTTGAAAAAAGGCAGGCAGTTCTCAGCAAGCTGCATCTAATTGATTGTACACCGAGGTTTACATTTTTCCTTATGGATCAAGTCCCACACAGCATCATTTATACTTTTATAACATCATTTCAATTTCAATACAATTATAATTGCACTTGCATGTACTGTACATAGGCCTACTGCACATATTGTTTGTCAATTGATTTACCCATTGATTTAAAAGGAGAAGCTTCTGTGCCTTTAATGACAAATTTTAATCTTCCGTCATTTTTTTTTATTTGTTGATTTATTTTTGGCCTTGTGGAGATCCCATCACAGTCTTCAGCCTTGAATGCATCTTTGGCTCAGATCGAGTGATTGACGTGGTTAATGAGCTGGAGTCAATCCAATCTTTGCCGGGCTGCTGTAAATCTATGATTTAGTTACACGTACAAGGAGTGCATTGCGTTGCAGTCATGTGAGTTTGGATACGGTAGGGAAGGCCATTCCGGGCATATTTGAATGGCACCTACAAGAAATCATCATACATCATGTCTATTTCCCAAACCTCAGTTTTTTTCTACTGTGTGGCTGTGGCCTCTTTTCAGCCTGCAAGTAAGAATTAAAGGGGTCAATGCATTACATTACTTTGTACTACAGTCATTGAAAATGCACTTTGTTTAGTTAACCTTATTTTTAGTAGTATTATTGTTTTTTTGCCATTTTCGGGTGCCCTTTTGGTTCTTATGCTAGTGCAAATGCAAAACTGTGACACCATTCTAGGATGAAAAACGTCGATGTTTGCATTGATTTGTGCACGTAAAACTGCTTGGATATTCTCTATTATTAACAACTGTGCTGACATGTGGTGTTAGTCTCTTCCTGCACTATAGTCTTAAATCTGATAGTTTCTCTATGCTTTCCCTCAGCAACCGGATTTGAGCAGTATAAGTTTACCGGCACAGCAGAAGAAGTTTGAAGGATATTACAAGATAGCGAGACACTACAAGTGGGCCCTGAATAAAGTGTTCCATGAATTCAACTACGATGCAGTGATAATTGTAGAAGGTAGGGTATATGAACATTTATGTCGTGGCCAGAGTGAGCCTAGAGGTAATATGTCCATTAAAGACAGGAGCAATTCCCTTGGAGCTCATTTCTTCCCCCTTAATCTTACTGGCATCATGCACATGTAGTTCCTTTTTTGTTAGATCCCTCACCCTCTCGGAGTCCAACCTGTCCTTGTTCCCACTCCTACCTCGTCCCCAGGGTTCCATTTGCCAGCCACCATTGTCACCGGTTGGTGAGCCAGTTCGCTATATACATATATCAGTAGGGCATACCCGAAAATGAAATATGTCGGCTTATTCGCAAATAATGTGTTCATGAGGTCTGTCTTATAAGGGTGGCCATGCCTTTTTGAAATACCGAACTGGCTTAAGGACCAGAAACAGAGCTGTACATGTAGATGTATGTAAAAGTGTGCTCTTAATGCCGGACCCTTTGGCTTCTTTAAAATGTTTTCAGCAGAAACCCTGCGTTCCCCCCAAAATAAGAAAAATTGAAATAAGATTCTAAGATTTGTAAAACTTAAAATACATGTACCTCGATGTTGCAATCTCTCGGAGATTTGCTAAATTTTATTTTGAATATCTCTGATTAAGCCCAGAGCATAAATTTTTAACAATTCTTCATTCCAACTGGCTTTACTCACTCATTGCCCCTTCAGCTGTCGTAATAACAAACCTGTTCAAGAATCTCACCACCATTAAACCAAGAATAACATTTCCGCCTCTCAATCGGGCCACTCACACAACACATACTCCAGCAGACCCTCTTAAGCAAACACAGCGAGAGAGTGTTAGAGAAACAGAAGCTGAGAAACCCGCGGTTGATTCCATGATGAAGTAGGGCGAATGGGGGAGAAAGAAGCAAACAACATCCCGATTCCCCAGTGGTGGGGGCGGCTCTAAAAATACACCTGCCTGTGTCGCGTCTTCATCTCTCTGCGTCTTTCTCCCGTCGATTTGTCCGGCCATGAATCTGTTAACGAGGAGCAGGTCCTCCAGAGAGAATCCTTGGGAAAGGGGAGCTCGTGACTCAGCGTCCTCGTGCCTATCTTTGGACAATTAGACCAGAATTAGGTTTCAAATTCCCAAAGCTTTTTACTGGCCAAGGGGTTACTTGGTTCAGGAGTTTTACTTCTTCATAGCACGCCCTGTGTGGGGTGTCAGATTTCATACTTTGCAAGGCGCACCTGTGTCCTTTTGACAAAACCCACGGTGGTGGCAAGCGCTGCACAGCGGTCAGGAATGCTTAGGGGAAAAACTATTGCCTTGCAGATTGATCTCATGTGTCCATGTCATGTGTCCATCTTGAAATTCTTGCAGCATCAAGCAGATGTACAAAATGTGGATATAAGTGGAAAAGAAAAATTCTTATCATATTAAAAGCTGTATTAAGCTTACATTTTGGAATCTATAGCTTCTGCTGGGGCATAGCGGTTGTTCACAGTTTGTGTGTGATTTATGATGAGATTATTCACTAGGCTTCCAAATCCATTTGTGTTGTGTAGAACTTTTCATACACGTATATGTCTTTGAAAATCTCTTAAATTAGCAGGGGGAAACATATGCAAGATGTTGATTGTGGAGTGAGAAAGTTGGTTCCTTCAGGCAACTGCCTTGTGGTGCAGTACGATTTTGGCCTGTGTCGTTGATGGCTCCTTTTAAAAATAAGTTTTTGATTCAGCACAGTACGGCACAAGATTGATATTTTTTTGTACACGTTAAATTTCCAGCTCCTGTTCACCTGCAGTGAATCACTGCATTATATACACATTATGCTTTGTCATAAAGACCCATATCCATTAACTTGTGAGTCTAAACAGAAAAATTGCTTTAACCTTAAGCCGAATCCATTTTATGTGAAAATGAAATGGCCACAGCATTCATTATATTTTAATATAATTCATACTGCTCTTATAAATCACCGTTTCAGCAACTCAAACCTTCAAGCCTTCAGAATTTTGGAGTGCAATTTTTTCTTCATATACACGTATTTCTGTTTGCTTTCATCCAGACGATTTGGACGTGTCTATAGATTTCTTTGAGTACTTCCTGGCGACGTATCCTTTATTGCAAGAAGACCCAACTCTGTGGTGCGTGTCAGCTTGGAACGATAATGGCAAAGACTCCAGGATATCAGATGACGCCGGTAGGTCCCTGCCCAACCTAACGTCTCTCTACTGAAACCCCCCCCCCGAAAAAAGCAATAAAAGTGTCACATGGAGAACGGCTGAATTGGACTCACGGAATCGTTATGACAGCTGGCCTCTGTCGCCCCTCAAGGCACGTCGAAGATGTCACATCATTGTTTGTACATTTTGCTAGTGAATGCAATGAACCACTTTGTGTCCCCGGGATAAATGCAAAATGACGAATGGAGAGGTAGATAAGCTCTTACAAGTGAGATGCCACCCTGCAGAAATGAAAGGCCCGCAGACAAGTGGATATTCATTTTCACTGAAAATGTTACAAATAAAACAGCAGAAAGACATTGTCCATACGGTGCATGTGCTGTATGTACTGATAACACTGATAACTAGGACGAGTTATTTTTTGTGAGCAGAGTGGTTGCTGTAGATACGGGACAACCACAACGAAATGAATTCCTAAAAGTGCTTTTACTGTCATGTACATGTACAGTGTCTTGTATCATTTATAGTTTGGGATTTGCCCATTGAAAAGGTAGAAAATATTTAGAAGAATTCGTAGTCAGGCATTTTCATTCGGCATTAGCCACATTGGACACACAAAAGTGCATGTGTAAAATTTATTTTTTTTGGTTTATTATTTTTGTCAAAGTGCAATTCACAACTGACACAAATGGTATTTTTATATTCTGAAATTAAGGGAAATTGTGTTGAAATATTGTTTTACATTTGTATGTGAGAAAATGTACTGTTTGAAGGAATTCATATCTTCTAACTCTCAGTCAGGAATCTAGGAAAGAGAAGGCTTGACATTTGATGTACTAACAGATGATTTTTAGTAACACTGGTAGTTGGATGTAGTAGGAAATGTCAAAGATGGGGTCCTTGAGCAACTAGCAACACAGACTTTAACCCTAATCCTCCTCAATCCTCCAAAATCCTTTGGGCGGTTTTGGAGGATTTTGGAGGATTTAGGGTGAACGTCAAAAGTGCATGGCTTATTCTGAAGGAAGCCATACGTGAAGGTTGTGGGTTAGACCTTGTGTTGTTTTTGTTTAGTCATGCATAAATTCAGCCCAGCATTTCTTTTGAATCAACTGCACTGCTCAAGGATGCCATTCGCACTGCCTCAACATAATGACGGGAATTGCTGGAGGATTTTGAAGGATTGAGGCAGTAGGCACACCTCCAAGTAACATTTTCAAGAAATTTTGGAGGATTGAAGAAGAATCCAACTTTTTCACCCCCCACATTGGAGGATTCTGGAGGATCGAGGAGGGTCCCTAGCAAAAAGGGCCTGAGGGTTTGGGTTAATGATTGTCTTTGAAATTAGTTAATGAAATGCTTGAGAAGTCCTGATCACATACATGTACATGTACAGTGGTCACCTTTGGAAAATGAGTTTAGTCAGCATGAGCTGGTTGCCATGGCAAATAGCTGGAACTTTTCAGACTGAAGATATTTAAGTATTGTTTCTCCTTTTTCCCTGCAGAATTGCTGTACCGGAGCGACTTCTTTCCTGGGCTCGGTTGGATGATGAGGAAGGAAATATGGCTGGAACTAGAGTCCAAATGGCCACAAGGGTAGGTCTTAACTGTAACACTCCACGGGGCTGTGCCTCAACTCAAAGCCCCTCAGAAGTTTCGGTCCGCAGCAGCATCTCACATAATTGTGACGCACCATTCCAAAACTTGGCTGAAGTACATGTCGGTCATTTTGAAGTTTGAGGAGTCCCCTTCCCCACTGGTCATTTCTGCGCTTCAAGGCGATCCATTGCACAGATTTTTGTCTTGCAAAAAACTCTCATACTCAAAACTCTCATCTGTATATGCCCTAGTGCCATTTTCCAGATAATTGCTAAAAGGCCTTCAGCCTGGCTTTGAAATGGTGGGTCACAATGATGAGAGTTCCAGCATTGCCGTTTTCTTTTTGATTGAATTCGTAGGTCATCATGCCACTGAGGGAGCAGTGATGTCTTGGCCAGTCTCTACTGCATGCTTTAAAAAATCATACAAACCTGAGTATTTGATTCAAGGATTTGGGTGGGCAAGGGTTAGTTAGTGTTCCTACAAAGGTGGATTAGAATGGGCATGCCCCCCCCAGCCCCAATTTTTTTTTTTAAATAATGGGAAAAAAAAGCAATTTGTTTGATCTGTTTCATTTCCCTGCTTTCAAACAGCTTGTATGAATCCTCGAAATGTAGCCTCGCCCCTTTAGGTCATGAAATGTTACATGAAATATGTCCATGTTTTTGGGCCCTTCCTTGCAAAACAAATTTGGTGCCAACCCCGCCCCCCATTGGGTTTTGGATTTGCCCCTGTGTCTGTGCCATTGTTGTGCAAGATTTCATGTATGGTGTAGAGATGTTGAAAATTGGAAAATGGAAATAACTCGGACTATGAGATTTTTCCACTTGCGAGGCTGTTTGTCCGTGGTTCGAACTAAAGCATTGTGTCTGTTCTCCTTTTCAGGTTTTGGGACGATTGGATGAGAGATCCCGCCCAGCGCAAGGACAGAGCCTGCATCCGACCCGAGATCTCCAGAACAGACACCTTTGGAAAAGTTGGCGTCAGCAGGTATGTGGGGAGAGTATGGATTGAACTATCAACAGTAGTGGCAACATGGCAGTTTAGAGGGACAGCTGAAGTTGTGAGCTTTAGGCTTATGAGGGTTAATTAAAGGCAGAAGGTCTCAAGGAATTCATGGCTGTCTTTTAGCTCCAACCTAAGGTCTTGACACTAATTTAAGTGTAGGTGTAATAAAATTTCCTTAAACACAGTTTTTCTGCATCTCTGTACTCATCTTCAGCATATATGTAAACTATTTTACATTCTTATTTGGTTAAATGCTTTGGAAAGTGCACTTTTTTTAATCTCTTAGAATTATCCATGCTTTTGTAGACAACTGAGGGCGCTGTTGCCGTGATTTCATCCAGGGAAGACAGAGAGCATTTTTGAAACCAGTGGATTCGGCTTAGACTTTGGTTTAGCAGGTTCTATCCATTTTGAAGCAGCATTCGAGACCACTTGTTCAAGCTCTGTCTGCAACCAGCGAAACTGAGTCCAAGCTGAATCCACTCTTTTCAAAAACACTTATAGTTCAGTGCATAAGTTTTCTATTAAGATTACAAAACCAGAATTTACTCACTGAAAACATTTCTGCGAAGGGGATCAATGCTTGTTTATTGCTGTGCACATACACAACAAGCGAATCATCAAAGAAGAGAGAATCTAGTCCAGCAAAATCTACAAACATCTACAAAAACAGCGCTATATTGAGGCTTTCTCTATTTGTATTGTTCCTGTTTGGACAATTATTTTTTTTTCCTGCTTGAACAAGTTTGTTCTTCTTTTCTGTAAAAGAAAAAAAAGTCTTACATGTAAGACTTTGCACAGAGTTTTGAAGAATGTGTAACTCAAAAGAAAGCAGATTTGTGTTTCACAGTCAATCAACAAAAAAGAAAAAAAAACGGATTGCCTGACATCACGTCATGTGTCGTCCTCTTGCAGGGGCCAATTTTTTGAACAGCATTTGAAGTACATCAAACTCAACAAGAAATCAGTGGCATTCACGAAGCTGGACCTGTCGTTACTGAAGAAGGTTGGTTGAAAACAAAGAAGTGAGATTCATATTAGTTGAAGTGTTACTGCAACCAGAGCAAAACTGCTGTTTGTGTGTTGGTGAACTCAATCCTAAAAGAGCCAGGTTTCTGCCCCCCCCCAACTCGACTGCCCCATGCCGGATCTTTTTGAAACTTGGTATACAGATGAAGGCGATTCTGTAAAGTGCATCTGTGAAGTTTCAATTCAATCCCACATACAGTTTTGTCGTTTTGGTCATTTAAATTTGTGGCCTCATGTGTGCTGACTTCGGTGCATTGAGCACATCAATAGGAAAGATGTGCATTTGTTGACCAACACGTCTTGAGAAAATAGGAGTTTTGCATGAGTGGTATGTCCGATTTTCACAAAATTTGCGTCAAGATTACTGCAAGACATTACTTAAACCCCTGATGGCTCAGCACAGGAAAAAAAAATTGTGACAGTGTTGGAGAAAATGTTTCAAAGTACCCCTTGCTAATATCTGTATATACATGTAATCATCCTTTCATCTGTGGTGGCCTGCCCTGCATCTGAAAAAATTTTCTCTCTGATATAATAGGAGACTACATACATTTATCTTGTTTGGGCTTATTTGAAGGTAAAATTTGTACTTTTCCTCTCAGTACCGGTACTTGGGTGCTTTTTGAGTACCAAGGTCTCTGCCAAGAATTGAACTTGTTAGAAGGGAATTGGGCATTAAGCAGTAAATGCAAAACGTAAGATTACAAAATTAAATTATGACTTCAGACCATCACTGTTTTTGTAGCTGAAGCATTCAAAAAGTACTCACTTTTCAAGTACCTTTCTTTGTAAAAATTAAGTCTGACAAATCTGGCATGTCTGATGTCTAAAATATTTGTTTTGTGATTAATCTTATCTTTGTACAATTACCATCCAATTCCATGTTCTTCAGCCTTTTTTCTTTCTAACCAGTTCCAGATTTGGCTGAGAACTTGATACTTGAAAAGTACATGACTACAACACCAGGTCTCTTTGTGCACTAACTACATAGCTGTTTTTGTGTGTGTTGCCAGTTGACACTCTCCTGATCACTTTTGATGTGAAATTGGACATCTCTGGAAATTATGAAAATACAGACTTCATGTGATTGAGTAAAAAAGAGTACGGTAGAACTGCCGTAGATGATCAGCGTGTGGAGACTTGTAAATTTAGATGTGTTGAAAGTTCAAAAGATACAACTTCTACATTAATACCACGTCTCTCTGAATTTCTTATGTCACCAGGAAAATTTTGACCCCATGTTCAAGAAGGCGGTGTACGGAGCACCCGAGGTCACAATGGAACAACTGAAGCAGAACACAATAGGCCAGAAAGCGGTCCGAGTCACGTACACCAACAAAAACAGCTTCAAATTGTTGACCAAACAGCTGGGAATCATGCAGGACCTAAAGGTAAATTAGCAAGCAGTCGGGAGGGAACCCAGAAGTCTCACTCTGATTACCGGACAGTTGTGGAGTTCCGATGCAATGCTTGTGCATTGTTGTTCATTTCACGAAAAATCAAAAGCCAAAATTAAGCCTGACCCTGTGCTTAAGGGACTTTGACAAATCGTCGTTTTCAGAAAAACCTGTCATTCTCGTAGTTGTTTGTTTCTTCGTCTTCCAGCAGACAGTACTGAAGTGAACACGTCACATACTTAATTTGTGTGTAAAAGGCTTTAGCTCGAGAACCAAGGCGCGATCCAACATGCGCATACTTCATTCATTTGCACTTACACTTAGCAGTTCAAAGGACGCCACGCCTTGGTAGTCTATGAGCCCCGAGTTGGACCAATGGAGGGCACAGTTTTTCTTGCAATGCAGGCTCATTTGGTGGGAACTGGCACTTTACTGGTTCACAAACGACTTTTGAAATGCACTTGTTACTGTTGGGTCACTAAACAAACATGAACACTCCCCACCAACCTGGCTCTTTTTTAACTGAGGAGGGGGTGCTTCTGCTCAATGTGGATAGCAGAAGTCAAAACAAAGCAAAGAACAGTTACACAATGGGGATGTGAACCTGTAACCCTCCAGAACACAGGGCATGTGTCTCACAGGCCTTTTCTTGGGATCCTCCAGCTTGTAACCGGATCCCACAAAATGAGTCATAAGGCCATTAGTTTCCCCAGTTTACATTAAAGAGGGCAAACAGAGCTCTTTGTTTTAGATATCCCTCAGTTTGGCATATTGATGAAAATGGACTGTGTGTAAGTAAAATAATGCAAGAGTTCCAATTCATTCACATGAAAGGCTTTTAACTCAAGAATGGCTCTGGCTACATAAGACTTATTTTGTTCCACTGGGTTTACATGTGTCAGCTTGTTTTTTCCTCAGTCACATATAACGGAAGGGGCATGTTGCCAAGTGGTTTGGGTCTGTGGCTTCCAGTCATAGGATTGGAGGTTCAGATCCAACTGCTGGCAGTATCTTGTGGCCCTTAGCAAGCCACTTCACCCCTGCTTGCCTCTCTCCACCCAGGAGTGTAGATTGGGTCCAGCATTAGCTGAGAAGCAACCTGTGATAGACTGGCACTCCATCTGGGGGGAATAGAAATATTCTCAGTCGTTTCATGCTAAGGAAACGGGGGATAAACGCCGGCCTGATGAGCCAAATGGCTCTGACCAGACTTGCTTTTTTAACACATTTAACAGAAGTCTTGAATTCATCCCTCTTTTTTTAAAGGTTCAGTTTTTTTCAATCTTTTTTCTCCAGTCTGGGGTTCCACGAGCTGGCTACATGGGAGTGGTCAGTTTTATGTTTAACGGTCATCGGGTCTACCTGGCACCAACAGAAGACTGGAAAGGATATGACCATACGTGGAGTTAACGCAGGCTCTATAATTGGCCACCGCCATCTCATGAGATTGAACTCTTGGTGGCGCTGTGCGGTCAGACCGCTAGACGTGAGCCAGCAGTGCTAGTTTGGAATCATGAGACTTTAGACTGGAGACCTGATCTCACAGAAGATGTACATCTGAGGACGACGCAACGCCTTCAAAGCTTCTGAAATTGCATGGGTTCCTGGGCACCTCACGAACACTACCTGTCCTCTAGCCTGATTGGACGTGTTCTTAAGTACGCGTACATGCACACACGGCCTGCAGTGCTTGGCCATGCACAGGTGGATATGGACATGGTCAACCCCTGTGTCAGAGGTCTTGCGGACCATTCTTTGACCCTAAATCTGCGTGAGGTGATATTACAGGCTGTGTTCAGAGTTTTGACCAATAGAGAGGATGCTTTGTACTTTTTCACTTCAGACAGCAAATGAGTGCAGCGCAAACAGTGCAAGTCTAGGTAACCATGGTAACAGTACTCCGCGTGTGTCAAATTCCAACTACTTACACCCTTCTTAGCAGCCTCAGGCCACATCTATTTCATTCCAGATACGGTGAAAGCTAGAAAATAGGGTTTTTTCTTGAAAGGAGCACCGGTTCATGTTCAGCAGGACAAACCGCTGACTGGATTGAAATGATAGCAGAGACCAATGCAGGATGCGTTTGATAGGGCGCCCTCGCTTGAATCAACCGTGGGATACACACAGGCCGCACGACCTGCGAGGCAACCGGCATCAACCAGCATCAGCAAAACAGCACTCACAGAGCACTCGCCAATTGAAGTGATTGTTTTTATAGCATGTCCTTCAGACAACGTGCTGGACGTGCCCATCCACAGGAGCACACAATGTTCATGAAAACAGGAATCAATTAGGATTCATGTTCAGGGGCCAGTTTCATAGTGCTGTCAAGCAGAGTTATCCCTCGAATACATGCAGTGGTCCTTCTACAGTGCGTATACAGTTCACTAAACTTGATCACACCTGCTCACACTATGCCACCTCTACATGTATTGTTTAAGTATTTGCAGTCACTTGGTAACTGTACTTTTGTCTGGAGTAAGTTAATGAGCCTTTTCACTGCTGTTCCTGTGTACATGTACTGGTAATGTTCTGCTGCTGAAGCTCTGAACTGAAGACTTTGCTGACATTTTCGGCACTCAGCCTGAAAATACACGCACAGATGTATGTAGTCCTTCAT